GGCGACTTGCAGCTTCAACACCTCGGACTGTTTCCGCCGAACGTCATTACCACCCGCGTGAATAACAATTCGACGGAAACGCTGCTTGTGGGTCATCATGAGCCTCAGATTCCCTTCAATATCACCAAGCCTGGCCCCAGGGAAGCACCGAACAGTGGCTCCTGGGATCTTAACACCTCTAACAATAGAGGAGCCAATTACCAGCGCATCAGCGACTCCATCGGCTCTCTCAGCGACTCCAGCGGCTCTCTCAGCGGCTCTCTCAGCAGCTCTCTCAGCGGCTCTCTCAGCAGCTCTCTCAGCAGCTCTCTCAGCGGCTCTCTCAGCGGTTCTCTCAGCAGCTCTCTCAGCGACTCTCTCAGCAGCTCTCTCAGCGGTTCTCTCAGCGGTTCTCTCAGCAGCTCTCTCAGCGGCTCTCTCAGCAGCTCTCTCAGCGGTTCTCTCAGCAGCTCTCTCAGCAGCTCTCTCAGCAGCTCTCTCAGCAGCTCTCTCAGCAGCTCTCTCAGCGGCTCTCTCAGCAGCTCTCTCAGCGGCTCTCTCAGCGGCTCTCTCAGCGGCTCTCTCAGTGGCTCTCTCAGCGGCTCTCTCAGCGGCTCTCTCAGCGGCTCTCTCAGCGGCTCTCTCAGCGGCTCTCTCAGCGGCTCTCTCAGCGGCTCTCTCAGCAGCTCTCTCAGCAGCTCTCTCAGCGGCTCTCTCAGCAGCTCTCTCAGCAGCTCTCTCAGCGGCTCTCTCAGCGGCTCTCTCAGCAGCTCTCTCAGCGGCTCTCTCAGCGGCTCTCTCAGCAGCTCTCTCAGCGGCTCTCTCAGCAGCTCTCTCAGCGACTCCAGCGGCTCTCTCAGCGGCTCTCTCAGCGACTCCAGCGGCTCTCTCAGCGGCTCTCTCAGCAGCTCTCTCAGCGGCTCTCTCAGCGGCTCTCTCAGCGGCTCTCTCAGCGGCTCTCTCAGCGGCTCTCTCAGCGGCTCTCTCAGCGGCTCTCTCAGCGGCTCTCTCAGCGACTCCAGCGGCTCTCTCAGCAGCTCTCAGCGGCTCTCTCAGCGGCTCTCTCAGCGGCTCTCTCAGCGGCTCTCTCAGCAGCTCTCTCAGCGGCTCTCTCAGCAGCTCTCTCAGCAGCTCTCTCAGCGGCTCTCTCAGCGGCTCTCTCAGCGGCTCTCTCAGCGGCTCTCTCAGCGGCTCTCTCAGCGGCTCTCTCAGCGGCTCTCTCAGCGGCTCTCTCAGCGGCTCTCTCAGCAGCTCTCTCAGCAGCTCTCTCAGCGGCTCTCTCAGCAGCTCTCTCAGCGGCTCTCTCAGCGGCTCTCTCAGCGGCTCTCTCAGCGGCTCTCTCAGCGGCTCTCTCAGTGGGGCCTTCTTCCCCGACAGAGCGTCCCAGCGATTGTAAATGCTAACAGGAGGAGGCCCAATGGGGAAACTACCAACAACACGTGGCCCTCTCCGAACAGTCACAAAGCCATCACTATCCTGGTCTTGTCCCAGCTGCGGAGGACGGGCTGGGAGGCTAGGCTCGCTAGTTCTCCTCTGCCTTTCCCTAAAGCTGCGCTCCGCTGTCCCTGAGGATACGGCCTGGCTGTAGCTAATGCTAGCGCTAGCTCGAGACTCCAGTGCTCGGAGACGCAGCTCTAACTCACTGACCCTGGATTCCAGAGCTACGACTACACTACACTTCACACATCTATCACTACCCTCAGAGAAGGATCCAGGGTTTAGACTCGCCATATGGCAACTCGAGCAGTAAAGGATTGAGGGAGAGACAGCAGCCGCCATAGTAGCGAGTTAGCGGCTAGGCTAGGCTAAGCTAGGCTAGGCTAAGCTAGTACGGATCCGGGCCCGCACAACAGACTCCGAGACCAGACAAACAACCGCTACCTAAACCTCAGCTGCAGTACAGCTGACTCGGAGTGCTTACACAGTTAGCTTGGTGTACAATACGTGGATTTGTAATGTGTTAGTGCAAACAGAGAGCAGAGTGATAGCAGTCAAGAAACACGCTCACCGGATACAGGAAGTCACCGGATACAGGAAGTCACCGGATACAGGAAGTCACCGGATACAGGAAGTCACCGGATACAGGAAGTCAATTGGACACTGTTTCCAATTGACACTTGTCACTTTTGTTGTACATAATTATTGTCACTTTATTGTACATATATATCCTGCATGTAACATGTTTGCACATTTCCTCCTTTTGCACAATCTGAGTGTTCTATCCATGCCAAATGTGACATGTACATTTCTCCTCTGAGAGATAAATAAAGCAAATCTTATCTTATCTTATACCATAGTCTCTCTCTCTCTCTGGTCTCTCTCTGGTCACTCTCTGGTCACTCTCCAGTCTCTCTCTGGTCTCTCTCTGGTCTCTCTCTGGCCTATCTCTGGCCTATCTCTGGTCTCTCTCTGGTTTCTCTCTGGTTTCTCTCTGGTTTCTCTCTGGTCTCTCTCTGGTCTCTCTCTGGTCTCTCTCTCTGGTCTCTCTCTGGTCTCTCTCTGGTCACTCTCTGGTCACTCTCCAGTCTCTCTCTGGTCACTCTCTGGTCACTCTCCAGTCTCTCTCTGGTCTCTCTCTGGTCTCTCTCTGGTCTCTCTCTGGTCTCTCTCTGGTCTCTCTCTGGTCTCTCTCTGGTCTCTCTCTGGTCACTCTCTGGTCTCTCTCTGGTCTCTCTCTGGTCTCTCTCTGGTCTCTCTCTGGTCTCTCTCTGGTCTCTCTCTGGTCACTCTCTGGTCTCTCTCTGGTCTCTCTCTGGTCTCTCTCTCTGGTCTCTCTCTGGTCTCTCTCTGGTCTCTCTCTGGTCTCTCTCTCTGGTCTCTCTCTGGTCTCTCTCTGGTCTCTCTCTCTGGTCACTCTCCAGTCTCTCTCTGGTCTCTCTCTGGTCTCTCTCTGGCCTATCTCTGGCCTATCTCTGGCCTATCTCTGGTTCTCTCTGGTTTCTCTCTGGTTCTCTCTGGTTTCTCTCTGGTCTCTCTCTGGTCTCTCTCTCTCTCTGGTCTCTCTCTGGTCTCTCTCTGGTCTCTCTGGTCACTCTCTGGTCACTCTCTGTCTCTCTCTGGTCTCTCTCTGGTCTCTCTCTGGCCTATCTCTGGCCTATCTCTGGCCTATCTCTGGTCTCTCTCTGGTTTCTCTCTGGTTTCTCTCTGGTTTCTCTCTGGTCTCTCTCTGGTCTCTCTCTGGTCTCTCTCTGGTCTCTCTCTGGTCACTCTCTGGTTTCTCTCTGGTCTTCTCTCTGGTTTCTCTCTGGTTTCTCTCTCTGGTTTCTCTCTGGTCTCTCTCTGGTCTCTCTCTGGTCTCTCTCTGGTTTCTCTCTGGTTTCTCTCTGGTTTCTCTCTGGTCTCTCTCTGGTCTCTCTCTGGTCACTCTCTGGTTTCTCTCTGGTTTCTCTCTGGTCTCTCTCTGGTCACTCTCTGGTTTCTCTCTGGTTTCTCTCTGGTCTCTCTCTGGTCTCTCTCTGGTCACTCTCTGGTCTCTCTCTGGTCTCTCTCTGGTCTCTCTCTGGTCTCTCTCTGGTCTCTCTCTGGTCTCTCTCTGGTCTCTCTCTGGTCACTCTCTGGTCTCTCTCTGGTCTCTCTCTGGTCTCTCTCCGGTCTCTCTCTGGTCTCTCTCTCTGGTCTCTCTCTGGTCTCTCTCTGGTCTCTCTCTGGTCTCTCTCTGGTCTCTCTCTGGTCTCTCTCTGGTCTATCTCTGGCCTATCTCTGGTTCTCTCTGGTCTTCTCTCTGGTCTCTCTCTGGTCTCTCTCCGGTCTCTCTCTGGTCTCTCTCTCTGGTCTCTCTCTGGTCTCTCTCTGGTTTCTCTCTGGTCTCTCTCTGGTCTCTCTCCGGTCTCTCTCTAGCCTATCTCTGGTCTCTCTCTGGTTTCTCTCTGGTCTCTCTCTGGTCTCTCTCTCTGGTCTCTCTCTGGTCTCTCTCTCTGGTCACTCTCTGGTCTCTCTCTGGTTTCTCTCTGATCTTTCTCTGGTCTCTCTCTGGTCTCTCTCTCTGTCTCTCTCTGAGCTCTCTCTGGGTTCTCTCTCTCTGACTCTGGGTTCTCTCTCTCTAACTCTGGGTTCTCTCTCTCTGACTCTGGGTTCTCTCTCTCTGAGCTCTGGCGCCATCTACTGCCGAACATTAGGGTTGTATCATTATAATAGATCCATGGGTTGTATACATTAGAATATTTAAGGTGGTACGTTATATTTATGATGGTAAATTAGATTTAAGGTGGTATATTGTATTTTCTACATGGAACATTGTATCTAACATAGTGCATTATGTTTAAGGTGGTACATTATATTTATGACGTTACATTAGGAATAATGTGGTACATTATAGTTAAGATGGTACACTGAAGGTGGTACATGACTGTTTTTACTGGGAGCCTCATGACAAAAATAAAATGCTGTGAAGGGTTGGATAAAAAATGTGGACTAAAATGTACATAATAGTAGTTTTAATATTCTCTCAAAATTCTTTTTTATTGTCACTAAACATCAGTGAAAACTCTCCCGCTGCGATTTGAGCGATAGTGTGTGAGATCACAAGGCTGGGCTAGCTTGCCGCATTCCTCCATAATCATCCAGGTTTCTGTGTATCTCTGCTTTGTCTGGTGAAGACCCACATGGTCCTCCACATAGTTCTCCTCATGGTTCTCCACATGGTCCTCCACATGGTTCTGGATCTCCATATGGTTCATCACATGGTCCTCAACATGGTTCTCCACATGGTTTTCCACATGGTCCTCCACATGGTCCTGGTCCTACACATGGTTCTCCACATGGTCCCCCACTTGGTTCTGGTTCTCCAAATGGTTCTCCTCATGGTTCTGGTCCTCCAAATGGTTCTCCTCATGGTTCTGGTCCTCCATATTGTCCTCCATATGGTTCTCCTATGAACACACAGCTGCTCAGGGGGCAGAGCCACAAACACACAGCTGCTCAGGGGCGGAGCCACAAGCACACAGCTGCTGAGAGGGCGGAGCCACAAGCACACAGCTGCTGAGAGGGCGGAGCCATGAACACACGATTCAAAAGCGCCGCAGATGCATCAAAGCAGCAGAACGCACAATGACAACCGTATGTAAGCAACTGATGAATAATTATATATTATTACATTATTTGTGATTTTTAACGCTCCCTACAGACTAATCACCCAGTACGGACTAATCACCCTTTACGGACTAATCACCCAGTACAGACTAATCACCCAGTACGGACTAATCACCCAGTACGGACTAATCACCCAGTACAGACTAATCACCCAGTACGGACTAATCACCCAGTACGGACTAATCACCCAGTACAGACTAATCACCCAGTACGGACTAATCACCCAGTACGGACTAATCACCCAGTACAGACTAATCACCCAGTACAGACTAATCACCCAGTACGGACTAATCACCCAGTACGGACTAATCACCCTGTACGGACTAATCACCCAGTACGGACTAATCACCCAGTACAGACTAATCACCCAGTACAGACTAATCACCCAGTACAGACTAATCACCCTGTTCGGACTAATCACCCTGTACGGACTAATCACCCTGTACAGACTAATCACCCAGTACAGACTAATCACCCAGTACGGACTACCCAGTACGGACTAATCACCCAGTACAGACTAATCACCCAGTACGGACTAATCACCCAGTACAGACTAATCACCCAGTACGGACTAATCACCCAGTACGGACTAATCACCCAGTACAGACTAATCACCCTGTTCGGACTAATCACCCTGTACGGACTAATCACCCTGTACAGACTAATCACCCTGTACAGACTAATCACCCAGTACAGACTAATCACCCCGTACGGACTAATCACCCATTACAGACTAATGACCCTGTACGGACTAATCACCCTGTTCGGACTAATCACCCAGTATGGACTAATCACCCAGTACAGACTAATCACCCTGTACGGAATAATCACCCTGTATGGACTAATCACCCAGTATGGACTAATCACCCAGTATGGACTAATCACCCTGTACGGACTAATCACCCTGTATGGACTAATCACCCTGTACGGACTAATCACCCTGTATGGACTAATCACCCTGTATGGACTAATCACCCTGTACGGACTAATCACCCTGTATGGACTAATCACCCTGAACGGACTAATCACCCAGTATGGACTAATCACCCAGTATGGACTAATCACCCTGTACGGACTAATCACCCTGTATGGACTAATCACCCTGTACGGACTAATCACCCTGTATGGACTAATCACCCTGAACGGACTAATCACCCTGCACAGACTAATGACCCTGTACGGACTAATCACCCTGCACAGACTAATGACCCTGTACGGACTAATCACCCTGCACAGACTTATCACCCTGTATGGACTAATCACCCTGTATGGACTAATCACCCTGTATGGACTAATCACCCTGTATGGACTAATCACCCATTACAAACTGCATATCAATTTTAAAAGGGCTGTCCATAATAATTCCCAGATTCCTGTGGGATCCCTACGGACTAATTGCTATTAGAGCTATTAGTCCGTACGGATCCCACAGGAATCTTGGACAAATCGCTCCCTATATACAGGGGTGCACATAACTTTTTCCGTGAGGTACTCAGATGAGTACCAGGACATGGTGTTTGGTACTAATTTGTTGCGCGGTTCTTAATAGAGGGGCGACAATAGCTCAGTTGGTAGAGCATTGGCCTTTGAGCCTGAAGGTCGTGGGTTCAAGCCCACCGTAAGACCTACTTCACGACTCCCACTGATGACTGCTGTCGTTGTGTCCTTAGGCAAGACACTTAACCCCACTTTGCCTGAAGCCCCCACTGAAAGATCTCAGCTCCTGTGGACTCACCACCTGCAGGAGGATCAGTGAGGGGCTGGTGCTTTGTGAACTGGGTGCCACCCCCCCGACCCAGAAATGGATTAAGGGGAAGAAAATGGATGGATGGATGGATGGATGGTTCTTAATAGAAATTTTAAACTTGCTTCTTTTTGCTGAAATTCAACGTCTACAGAACGATTGATGTCTCGGCCTCTGTAGCAGATAGAAACATCATTTCAAAAGAATTTGAGAGCTGACACTTGTGTATTATTATAATCCTTCAGTAGAATAATAAAGAATATACAACTTCCACACAGGAAAGATAATAAAACAACCAATACAAATGTGGGACTAACACATGTTTCTCAAAACAATAAGTCAAAAAGAGTTTGGCAATAAAGTGGCACTAACTATGTGGAAAAAATTATTGAAAAAAATTGGCCAAAAAAGTCAAATAATGACTCACAAGGCTCTTTCTTAAGTAAGTAAAATAAGATAAGCAAGACGAATGTTTTGGTCTGTTCTGTTTGATTTGGTCACAACATTTTACTTCTGTGCACAAATAACATGCATTTTCAATGCAAGCGAAAATATACCTGAGCTGAGGGTGAGGCATGGGGGAGAGACGGGGGAGAGGCGGGGGAGAGACGGGGGTGAGGCATGGGGGAGAGACGGGGGAGAGGCATGGAGGAGAGACGGGGGAGAGGCATGGAGGAGAGACGGGGGAGAGGCATGGGGGAGACGGGGAAGAGACGGGGGAGAGGCATGGGGGAGGGACGGAAAAGAGACGGGGGAGAGGTATGGGGGAGAGACGGGGGAGAGGCCTGGGGAGAGACGGGGGAGAGGCATGGAGGAGAGACGGGGGAGAGGCATGGAGGAGAGACGGGGGAGAGGCATGGGGAGAGACGGGGGAGAGGCATGGGGGAGAGACGGGGGAGAGGCATGTAGGAGAGACGGGGGAGAGGCATGGGGAAACGGGGAAGAGACGGGGGAGAGGCATGGGGGAGGGACGGAGAAGAGACGGGGGAGAGGTATGGGGGAGAGACGGGGGAGAGGCCTGGGGAGAGACGGGGGAGAGGCATGGAGGAGAGACGGGGGAGAGGCATGGAGGAGAGACGGGGGAGAGGCATGGGGAGAGACGGGGGAGAGGCATGGGGGAGAGACGGGGGAGAGGCATGGGGGAGAGACGGGGGAGAGGCATGTAGGAGAGACGGGGGAGAGGCATGGGGGAGAGACGGGGGAGAGGCATGGAGGAGAGACGGGGGAGAGGCATGGAGGAGAGACGGGGGAGAGGCATGGAGGAGAGACGGGGGAGAGGCATGGAGGAGAGACGGGGGAGAGGCATGGAGGAGAGACGGGGGAGAGGCATGGGGGAGAGACGGGGGAGAGGCATGGAGGAGAGACGGGGGAGAGGCATGGAGGAGAGACGGGGGAGAGGCATGGGGAGAGACGGGGGAGAGGCATGGAGGAGAGACGGGGGAGAGGCATGGAGGAGAGACGGGGGAGAGGCATGGGGGAGAGACGGGGGAGAGGCATGGAGGAGAGACGGGGGAGAGGCATGGGGGAGAGACGGGGGTGAGGCATGGGGAGAGACGGGGGAGAGGCATGGAGGAGAGACGGGGGAGAGGCATGGAGGAGAGACGGGGGAGAGGCATGGGGGAGAGACGGGGGAGAGGCATGGAGGAGAGACGGGGGAGAGGCCTGGGGAGAGACGGGGGAGAGGCATGGAGGAGAGACGGGGGAGAGGCATGGAGGAGAGACGGGGGAGAGGCATGGGGAGAGACGGGGGAGAGGCATGGGGGAGAGACGGGGGAGAGGCATGGGGGAGAGACGGGGGAGAGGCATGTAGGAGAGATGGGGGAGAGGCATGGGGAAACGGGGAAGAGACGGGGGAGAGGCATGGGGGAGGGACGGAGAAGAGACGGGGGAGAGGTATGGGGGAGAGACGGGGGAGAGGCCTGGGGAGAGACGGGGGAGAGGCATGGAGGAGAGACGGGGGAGAGGCATGGAGGAGAGACGGGGGAGAGGCATGGGGGAGAGACGGGGGAGAGGCATGGAGGAGAGACGGGGAGAGGCATGGGGGAGAGACGGGGGTGAGGCATGGGGAGAGACGGGGGTGAGGCATGGGGGAGAGACGGGGGAGAGGCATGGGGAGACGGGGAAGAGACGGGGGGGGCATGGGGGAGGGACAGAGGAGAGACGGGGGGAGAGGCATGGGGGAGAGACGGGGGTGAGGCATGGGGGAGACGGGGAAGAGACGGGGGTGAGGCATGGGGGAGAGACGGAGAAGAGACGGGGGAGAGGCATGGGGGAGAGACGGGGGAGAGGCATGGGGGAGACGGGGAAGAGACGGGGGAGAGGCATGGGGGAGAGACGGGGGAGAGGCATGGGGAGACGGGGAAGAGACGGGGGAGAGGCATGGGGGAGAGACGGAGAAGAGACAGGGGAGAGGCATGGGGGGAGAGACGGGGGAGAGGCATGGGGGAGACGGGGAAGAGACGGGGGAGAGGCATGGGGGAGACGGGGAAGAGACGGGGGAGAGGCATGGGGGAGAGACGGGGGAGACAGGCAAGACCCGCACGTGCAATGTGCACGTAACGCGCACGTGTCTATGGTTCTATACGCGCGTCTATGGTCCGCGCTCGGTACATGACCACGCGCGTCTATGGTCCGCGCTCGGTACATGACCACGCGCGTCTATGGTCCGCGCTTGGTACATGACCACGCGCGTCTATGGTCCGCGCTTGGTACATGACCACGCGCGTCTATGGTCCGCGCTCGGTACATGACCACGCGCGTCTATGGTCCGCGCTCGGTACATGACCACGCGCGTCTATGGTCCGCGCTCGGTACATGACCACGCGCGTCTATGGTCCGCGCTCGGTACATGACCACGCGCGTTCGCTGAGCTGTCAGAGCGGCCACAGTTTCTCCTTGTGTCAGAACGGAGGATGTTATTGCACCACGGCCCACTGTTTGAGAAGGACTGGTCCATGTGAAGTACGCAAAAGTGCTTTCTAACTCAAGTGATAGTACGCATTTCTGATATTTGTCACGCATGCGTACCTGCGTACCACTTATGTGCACCCCTGCCTATATATATAATATATATACAGTATAATATAGATATATATATATACAGTATAATATATATATATATATATATATATATATATATATATATATATATATATATATATATATATATATATATATATATATATTATATATTATATAGTCGACCACAGTCTTCCAGTACTTTCCCATGGACCAAGCTGGACTAAAACCAACTGAAAATAAAAATGGCAGAATGAGCCTCTCTGGCTCAGCATATGTGTTCCATCCTTAATCCTGCTAATCTGGCTCCAAAAGCCACAGAAAGGGAACAAAACCATCGGAGGAGAAGGCGCCCAAAGACACGGCCTCCCGCTCCGTCTCCCAAACCCCCTTTTCCGAAGCTCAAACTTGGACCCAGACTCGGTCCCTTTGTCCAGGCCACAGGTCTCCACTGTAACTGTTACCTTTCAAAGATCTCCTCGTTCCAGGCTAGTTCCAAAGTGTTTAGATGGGATCAGGATCGAGAGAAAGGAACAAAAGCTATTTTCATTCTGTTGTGGTTGAATAAAGTCTGAATTTCTCACGAATGCCACACTTGAATTACTTGAATTTTTGTTTTTTGTTTTTATTCCCACATGGATTTGTAAGAAGGAGCCTGCTTCAAACACCTGTAAGATAAAATAAACTTAGATGATCTCAGAATGAAGCACAGATAGAATCACTCCGACATGAGTTAGGGTTAGGGTCTGATGTTAGGGTTGTTAAAAATACCTGGGAATCCACCTGGACCACAGACTGGACTGGGAGTCCACCTGAACCACAGATTGGACTGGGAGTCCACCTGAACCACAGATTGGACTGGGAGTCCACCTTGACCACAGACTGGACTGGGAGTCCACCTGAACCACAGATTGGACTGGGAGTCCACCTGAACCACAGATTGGACTGGGAGTCCACCTTGACCACAGACTGGACTGGTCAGCTCAGGCCAAGGCTGTCTATAAGAAAGGTCAGAGCAGACTCTTGGTCCTGAGACTGAGGTCCTTTGATGTGAGCAGATGTTGCTCATGTGTTACCGGTCTGTGGCGTGTTCTTTGGGGTCAGTCTGACCTCACAAAAATTACCCGACTCAACACCCTCTGCATGACATCTTTGCATGACTCCCTCTGCATGACTCCCTCTGCATGACTCCCTCTGCATGACACCTCTGCATGACTCCCTCTGCATGACTCCCTCTGCATGACACCTCTGCATGACTCCCTCTGCATGACACCCTCTGCATGACTCCCTCTGCATGACTCCCTCTGCATGACTCCCTCTGCATGACACCTCTGCATGACTCCCTCTGCATGACACCCTCTGCATGACTCCCTCTGCATGACACCCTCTGCATGACTCCCTCTGCATGACACCTCTGCATGACTCCCTATGTATGACACCCTCTGCATGACTCCCTATGTATGACACCTCTGCATGACTCCCTCTGCATGACACCTCTGCATGACTCCCTCTGCATGACACCCTCTGCATGACTCCCTATGTATGACACCCTCTGCATGACACCTCTGCATGACTCCCTCTGCATGACACCCTCTGCATGACTCCCTATGTATGACACCTCTGCATGACTCCCTCTGCATGACACCCTCTGCATGACTCCCTCTGCATGACATCCTCTGCATGACTCCCTCTGCATGACTCCCTCTGCATGACTTCCTCTGCATGACACCCTCTGCATGACACCCTCTGCATGACTCCCTATGTATGACACCTCTGCATGACTCCCTCTGCATGACACCCTCTGCATGACATCCTCTGCATGACTCCCTCTGCATGACTCCCTCTGCATGACACCTCTGCATGACTCCCTCTGCATGACACCCTCTGCATGACTCCCTCTGCATGACTCCCTCTGCATGACTCCCTCTGCATGACACCTCTGCATGACTCCCTCTGCATGACACCCTCTGCATGACTCCCTCTGCATGACACCCTCTGCATGACTCCCTCTGCATGACACCTCTGCATGACTCCCTATGTATGACACCCTCTGCATGACTCCCTATGTATGACACCTCTGCATGACTCCCTCTGCATGACTCCCTCTGCATGACACCCTCTGCATGACTCCCTATGTATGACACCTCTGCATGACTCCCTCTGCATGACACCCTCTGCATGACTCCCTCTGCATGACTCCCTCTGCATGACACCCTCTGCATGACTCCCTCTGCATGACTCCCTCTGCATGACACCCTCTGCATGACTCCCTCTGCATGACACCCTCTGCATGACTCCCTCTGCATGACTCCCTCTGCATGACTCCCTCTGCATGACTCCCTCTGCATGACTCCCTCTGCATGACTCCCTCTGCATGACTCCCTATGCATGACACCCTCTGCATGACTCCCTATGTATGACACCTCTGCATGACACCCTCTGCATGACATCCTCTGCATGACATCCTCTGCATGACTCCCTCTGCATGACTCCCTCTGCATGACTTCCTCTGCATGACACCCTCTGCATGACACCCTCTGCATGACTCCCTCTGCGTATGTGTATGTGTGTTACTATGTATGTATGTATGATTGTGTGTATGTATCAGTGGGGGCCAAAATGACGTACGCTGACATGCTGCAATACCACCCCGGGCCTGTGGGGGTGGACCCAGAAGTAGAATTAGCCAATGCTAACATATAGCATTGGCAGACCTCTGGAAAACGTCTTTACAGGATGGTCCAAAAGTTTGCTCTTGGCCCAAAGCTCCGTTCCACATGTGTGTCTATGCTGAGGGGGGTGTTCTGGACCAGTCTAGTTTAGTCGCTGTGGACTTTAGAAGTCTCTCGTTTAAATGAATGGAGCTCTCTCCGGCTGACGCATGCGCAGATGCGTTTTTTCACAATTTTCTTGTGGGCGGGACCACTCGCGGCCATTTTGGATAGCTCCAGTAGAGCACTATTTTTGGCCCATTAGTTAGAACGGCGGCGATAGGCGTGACTCTGTCCGTTAATATATACAGTCTATGCTATGTATGTGTATGTGTGTATGTATCTATCTATATCTATCTCTCTATCTGTGTATGTATCTGTCTATCTATCTATCTAAAGAAGCAAGTATAAATCTCTAACTTTAACATAATAAAGAAGCAAATCTGAAATCTAGCTTTAGCATAATAAAGAAGTATAAATGCAGTATATTCTAGCCTGGCCTTAGCCATCCGTACACTCGGCTCAATCATCATTTCACTGCATGTAACGTCTGGGTCTGGTCCCTGTGTTTGTGATTACAATCGGTTGAATTTCGACCGACAAATCAGTGAGCGCGGGAGGTGGGTGTTGTAGTTAGTTGTGGGTGATGTCAAGAGTTTGCGTTGAACGGGAAGGTTGTATTTTGGCAATGGCGAAAAATGCGATAGTAAAGTATTCAGGTCTAGTTCTATCAAGAAATTGAAGCCGGAGCAAGAGGACTGTTTAGCAAATGTAATCGCTGGAAAAATTGTAGCGATACTCCCCGTTAGGGACAAAGGAGATGGCTAGGCTAAATGCTAAATGCTAACGACAGACTCGGGCGCACTACATACGTCATGGTAAACTCAGATCCAATCGTTTCAATCTGCAAAAGGAGTTAACCCCTCCTATCTGTAAACGGAGCTCAATGGAGCACCTCCAGACCTTAGTACGAAATGTAATTTGTAATATGGTGTGGTACGACCAGGCTAAGTATATTCTAGTGCTGGACAGTTGTATGTTAGCATGTCTCCCATCTCCAGTGCCTCTCTTTATCCCTGGGTTTTGATGCTAGCTATTAGCAGCTCATTACTCCCTCAGAGACCTCCGCCTTGGACATCAGGCCACATGCTCGGCTTACACGGCTCTTTACACGCCCCGACAAACTGAATGCAACTCCCTGGATCCCGCTTTTCTTCCCTTTACCCCATCTGGCTCTGGGCACATAAAGGCGAGGATTTGCACCACGATGTTAGGGACTGGTTTTTTTGTTATCCGTGGGTGAAAAGAGCAGGAGGGGGAGGATTTTGTGCCCTTTTTTCGGGGTGCGATTCAGCAGGCGAGCCCAGATTTGCTTTAGCCAAACGCTACAAATGTTTCGACAAGCTGAGACTGTGATCCTACAGGTCAGACTCGCAGCGAGGGCAGGGGATCTACGACTCAATTGGAGCCGGGGAACAACAAAAGCAGCATGTGGATGAATATATTCTGTGTTTTTGGTGTTTGGAAAGGCCCCCCTCGTGGTCCACGCTCACAGGGATCAGCAGCTGGGCCGTCTTTAAGTCACGTTGGATGGAGAGGCACAGGGCTATTGTCAGACGGGGAAAAGATGGAACCACAAAAGCACTGGAGGGCTAGAGCCAAAGCTGATTGAGAAATATGAAGTAGCAGCTTTTGTATAGGAGACCACAAAGTCCAGTAGATATTTGCCTCAAAGGGTTATCAAAGGAACATATGAAAGTGTTGGTCAGAGAATAGAAAGAGATACTTCTGATCCTTCTGTTTTCACGCCTTCTACACATTTTTAGAACTTGTTTGCACCTTGAGCCAACGCAGTTTGTGACTTTCACTGATAATAAAAACTCTGGGTTAGGGTTTGGGTTACCGTCTCTAACTTAAACATAATCAGCCGAGTCAAAGCAAGTCTGAAGTCTCCAACTTAAACATAATAAAGAAGCAAGTATAATATTATATATATAAAAAATAAAAATAAATCTCACCTTTGGCCCTCCGTGGGCGGTTATCCCTCTCTAAGCTCGGGTCCTCTACCAGAGGCCTGGGAGCTTGAGGGTTCAGTATCTTTGCTGTTCCTAGCACTGCACATTTCTGGACCGAGATGTCCGAGGTTGTCCCAGGGATCCGCTGTAACCACTCTCTTTCTTACATTCCTTTATCTTTTTTTCCTGTAAATCTTCTAATCTAATCTAAATTGAACTATTTTTCACAGGTGAGTTTCAGCTTCACTCGTGAAGAAGTGTGTGTTTTATTGTTTACATTTGTCACAGTTTGTTCTACGTAAATACTGTAAGTGACTGTATTTTTGTTGCACAATGCTGTAGAATTGCAAAGAGATATTCAGTAAATATTCCGTAAATATATACCCAGAGCCTCACAAACAGTTCAAATATCAGATGTTGACCACCAGGGGGTTTGTGAGCATATGAAGTATCAGATGTTGACCACCAGGGGGTTTGTGAGCATATGAAGTATCAGATGTTGACCACCAGGGGGTTTGTGAGCATATGAAGTATCAGATGTTGACCACCAGGGGGTTTGTGAGCATATGAAGTATCAGATGTTGACCACCAGGGGGTTTGTGAGCATATGAAGTATCAGATGTTGACCACCAGGGGGTTTGTGAGCATATGAAGTATCAGATGTTGACCACCAGGGGGTTTGTGAGCATATGAAGTATCAGATGTTGACCACCAGGGGGTTTGTGAGCATATGAAGTATCAGATGTTGACCACCAGGGGGTTTGTGAGCATATGAAGTATCAGATGTTGACCACCAGGGGGTTTGTGAGCATATGAAGTATCAGATGTTGACCACCAGGGGGTTTGTGAGCATATGAAGTATCAGATGTTGACCACCAGGGGGTTTGTGAGCATATGAAGTATCAGATGTTGACCACCAGGGGGTTTGTGAGCATATGAAGTATCAGATGTTGACCACCAGGGGGTTTGTGAGCATATGAAGCTTTTCTCGAACCAATGGATGGAGAGGTTCAACACTTCATGAAGCTTCATCAACACTGACCAGGTTGAGCCAACGTCAGTATTCACCACTCAGCAAACAATCTGGCACCAACAGGCTGGAGTGCTGGGTTCTTGCTGTCTGCAGATGGTCATGGGTTCTTGCAGTCTGCAGATGATCATGGGTTCTTGCAGTCTGCAGATGATCATGGGTTCTTGCAGTCTGCAGATGGTCATGGGTTCTTGCTGTCTGCAGATGGTCGTGGGTTCTTGCTGTCTGCAGATGGTCATGGGGTCTTGCAGTCTGCAGATGATCATGGGTTCTTGCAGTCTACAGATGATCATGGGTTCTTGCTGTCTGCAGATGATCATGGGTTCTTGTAGTCTGCAGATGATCATGGGTTCTTGCAGTCTGCAGATGATTATGGGTTCTTGCAGTCTGCAGATGGTCATGGGTTCTTGCAGTCTGCAGATGATCATGGGTTCTTGTAGTCTGCAGATGATCATGGGTTCTTGCAGTCTGCAGATGATTATGGGTTCTTGCAGTCTGCAGATGATCATGGGTTCTTGCAGTCTGCAGATGATTATGGGTTCTTGCAGTCTGCAGATGATCATGGGGTCTTGCAGTCTGCAGATGGTCATGGGTTCTTGCTGTTTGCAGATGGTCATGGGTTCTTGCAGTCTGCAGATGGTCATGGGTTCTTGCAGTCTGCAGATGATCATGGGTTCTTGCAGTCTGCAGATGGTCATGGGTTCTTGCAGTCTGCAGATGGTCATGGGTTCTTGCAGTCTGCAGATGATCATGGGTTCTTGCAGTCTGCAGATGGTCATGGGTTCTTGCAGTCTGCAGATGATCATGGGTTCTTGCAGTCTGCAGATGATTATGGGTTCTTGCAGTCTGCAGATGGTCATGGGTTCTTGCTGTTTGCAGATGATCATGGGTTCTTGTAGTCTGCAGATGATCATGGGTTCTTGCAGTCTGCAGATGATTATGGGTTCTTGCAGTCTGCAGATGATCATGGGTTCTTGCAGTCTGCAGATGATCATGGGTTCTTGCTGTTTGCAGATGGTCATGGGTTCTTGCTGTTTGCAGATGGTCATGGGTTCTTGTAGTGTGCAGATGATCATGGGTTCTTGCTGTTTGTAGATGGTCATGGGTTCTTGCAGTCTGCAGATGATCATGGGTTCTTGCTGTTTGCAGATGGTCATGGGTTCTTGCTGTTTGCAGATGGTCATGGGTTCTTGTAGTGTGCAGATGATCATGGGTTCTTGCAGTCTGCAGATGATCATTGCCTCCAGGTGTGTACAGCAGGGAGGGGCCTTCCCTTCATTGTAGTACTATTATTGTAGTATTATTGTAGTACTATTATTGTAGTATTGTTGTAGTACTATTATTGTAGTATTATTGTAGTACTATTATTGTAGTACTATTATAGTACTACTATTGTAGTACTATTATTGCAGTACTATTATTGTAGTGTTATTTTAGTATTATTGTAGTACTATTATTGTAGTATTACTGTAGTACTATTTTTGTAGTATTATTGTAGTGTTATTGTAGTACTATCATTGTAGTACTATCATTGTAGTACTATAATTGTACTATTATTGTAGTATTACTGTAGTACTATTATTGTAGTATTATCATTGTAGTATTATTGTAGTATTATCATTGTAGTACTATCATTGTAGTACTATGATTGTAGTATTATCATTGTAGTACTATCATTGTAGCAATCTTGTACACTTTGCGCCACGCAAGCAGCAGTTTCTTCTTTTTCACAGCTAGACTCTCTGCAGCCGACAGTCTTTGTGTTTAAAGTCACGAAACAGCTACAGTATCCTTCTCCCGCATCACAATACTCTCAAAGGCTCTAATTGCTGGGATGTGCCACTGCTGTCTTTACAAAGAGACGCCACAATGGACCACGGACGCACAATGCACTACACAATGCACTACACAAGCATTCAATTAGCGTCGGACAGAGGGGCAGAGCGGTGGGCGGCATTCCTACACTTATCACAGCTCCCTGAAGGCACCACGGAGGCTCCAGAGAGACAGGGGTGTGTTAACCAGGGGTGTGTTAACCAGGGCCTCAGCCTCATTCTCAGTCTCACTCTCAGCGACTGAGGGCATGGTCACATTGTTTTTTACAAACGAACTAGGCCAAGTGGCCCGGATCGTCGCCACAGGGGTGTGGAAACGGCCCGCGGTCACATGAACCTGTACTCGCAAACGTTGCCAGCTGGTGGCGCTAATACTAACTCCAGCAACGACCTCGTTGTCCTGGTTGAGTTTCTGTTTCTCTTCCTGTTCACATTCTGCTACTGTAGCTAACAACTCGAGCACGGATTGAGTTGTTTAGGGAAAGACACATCTCACACTTGTCCACATTGCTCTGATGCAAAGTGCATCAGTTCAGTGGGTAACATGTGTGTGCGCACATGTGTGTGTGTGTGTGTGTGTGTGTGGGCGCGGACACAAGTGCAGACACACACACTATCTTTAATAACAAGCGTAAGAGCGTTGAGAAATGAATGAATGAAAGAATGAAAAGTGTAGTGCACAATCAGAGTGTGTGTGTTGGTGTGCTCTGGCGATTAAGTAAAGACTGATTCTTGAATGTCTGAAGTATTATTGCAATCACTGTGAGGGTTATTCCCATAGGAAACGTTTCCTATGGGACGTGAAGTCCCCGCTGAAAGATCAAGGGCGTCATCTACATGATGAAGGAGCAGCCATCATCCTGTAGATCCACCACCTGTTGGAGGATCAGTGAGGGACTGGTGCAGTATGAATTGGGTGGCAGCTCTGATTGCCACCCCCCTGACCCAGAAATGGATAATAAAGGGATGAAAATGAATGAATGAATGAAAAGCCAAACACTCTTCTCCAGAATTCCATAAATTTAAATTTCTGTGAGTCCTAACATTAAAATTCTTCTGCAGTGACACCGCCTCCAAACATCTCCAACTTTACCATAATGAGTCATTGTTCTGAGGACCAAGGGACTGAGTGCTCTCTTCTCGTCGTCAACAAGTCGGTGTTTTGAAAAAGCCCTAAATGAGTCCCATGCTGCTCCCATTAAAGCCACACCAGTGTTTTAGCAGCTCGGACTATTGTGAGAACCAGGACCCGTTAGTACTGGCCTACTTCTCTTCAGGGGGAGGAGGGGGGGGGGGGAAGGAGAGGAGGAGAGGAGGAGAGGGAGGGGGAGGAGGGGTCTGTCAAAGTGAATCAGGCCTGGGCGGGTCACAGCATTCAGCGCGGACCCTCCCCTGTTGTAAAACAAGCTCCCATGGGCCTGTGTGTGTGTGTGTGTGTGTGTGTGTGTGTGTGTGTGTGTGTGTGTGTGTGTGTGTGTGTGTGTGTGTGTGTGTGTGTGTGTGTGTGTGTGTGTGTGTGTGTGTGTGCATATGTGTGTGTCCTAATGCAGACATGCCACCCAAGAGAGGCCATACGTCTGCTCCTATCACCAAACACACACACATACACACACACATAACTCTAACCCAAACTCTAACCCTATGGACCAATGTCTCTGTGTTTGTTATTATTTCATTTCCCGTGTTCAACCTGACTCTCTGATCTGTGTTGGTGAATCAACAATCTATCCTCAGAGACGACTGCTGTGATTTTGGGTGAGACATAAAACGATCGTTTCTTTAGTGTTTTTTCCCAGTCACAGGCTTGTCTTTGCATTGTTCTCATCCATAATTCTGATTTTTACAAAAGCTAAAGTTCTGGACGTCCGGTTGGAGCCGTCAGATGTGGAGTGGGCAGAGGGAGGTCCAACCAAGTCCAAACCAAGTCTAAACCAAGTCCAAACCCGGAGCTTACGGGGGAGTTTCCGTAATATGTCGCCTTCATGGAAAGATTGATGGATTTAGACAGAGGCACAAAACCAGGAGGAGGAACCAAAATGTAGAGTAGGGGGGATACCAGCTATTGAATGGCGTCTTGTAGTTTAGAAACAGGAAATTTAGTGTCTTTTCTCGTTGGGGGGGCCGCACAGGGGGCGTGTCTGCTCTGCTAATTACCAGGGAGGTCTGTGGAGCGGTGTCTACACGTCCAGTTTGAAGAGCGGGAGAAAGGGCCCATAGCAGGTTAGGGCGGGTCAGTATGGCCACCATGAGAGGTCTGAGCTTCGGCCATAAATCAGAGTCTGTGCTTTGCACAGTTTACTTCAAACCCTAACTCTGACTCAAACTCTAACCCTAACTCTAACTCTAGCTCCAACACTAACTCTAAACCTAACCCTAACTCTAACTGTCTAGAGCCAGGAAGTATGACCACATTAGTCCAGACTAAAATCAGGAAGTGTGACCAAATTAGTCCTGACTAGAACCAGGAAATATGATCACATTAGTCCTGACTAGAACCAGGAAGTACGACCACATTAGTCCTGACTAGAACCAGGAAGTATGACCATATTAGTCCTGACTAGAACCAGGAAGTACGACCACATTAGTCCTGAGTAGAACCAGGAAGTACGACCACATTAGTCCTGACTAGAACCAGGAAGTACGACCACATTAGTCCTGAGTAGAACCAGGAAGTACGACCACATTAGTTCGGTCCTCAGGTCTCTGCACTGGCTTCCTGTGGCTCAGAGAATAGACTTTAAAACAGCTCTGCTTGTTACAAGTCTCTCCATGGCCTCGCACCAAAATATATTAGTGACATGTTAGTCCCATATGAACCAGCCCGGACTCTGAGGAGCACAGGGACTGGACTCCTGCTGGGACTCTGAGGAGCACAGGGACTGGCCTCCTGCTGGGACTCTGAGGAGCACAGGGACTGGACTCCTGCTGGGACTCTGAGGAGCACAGGGACTGGACTCCTGCTGGGAGTCTGAGGAGCACAGGGACTGGCCTCCTGCTGGGACTCTGAGGAGCACAGGGACTGGACTCCTGCTGGGACTCTGAGGAGCACAGGGACTGGACTCCTGCTGGGACTCTGAGGAGCACAGGGACTGGCCTCCTGCTGGGACTCTGAGGAGCACAGGGACTGGACTCCTGCTGGGACTCTGAGGAGCACAGGGACTGGACTCCTGCTGGGACTCTGAGGAGCACAGGGACTGGCCTCCTGCTGGGACTCTGAGGAGCACAGGGACTGGACTCCTGCTGGGACTCTGAGGAGCACAGGGACTGGACTCCTGCTGGGACTCAGAGGAGCACAGGGACTGGACTCCTGCTGGGACTCTGAGGAGCACAGGGACTGGACTCCTGCTGGGACTCTGAGGAGCACAGGGACTGGACTCCTGCTGGGACTCTGAGGAGCACAGGGACTGGACTCCTGCTGGGACTCTGAGGAGCACAGGGACTGGACTCCTGTTAGTGCCCAGAGTCAGAACTAAACATGGGGAGGCTGCATTTCAGAGGACTGGGTTGGTGTTGCTGGTACTGCCCTAAGCTGGTTTAGGTCCTATCTAGAAGAAAGGAAGTATTGTGTGGAGATTGGAGACTATGTCTCAGATAATATGGCCCTGACCTGCGGAGTGCCACAGGGGTCGATTCTGGGACCTCTCCTGTTCAATATTTACATGCTGCCATTAGGTCAGTTAATTCAAAGTATGAAAGTGTCCTACCACAATTACGCTGATGACACTCAGATCTATGTCTCACTGACTGCAGGAGAACATGGACCAGTGGACTCACTCCTTCACTGTATCCAGCGGATCAGTGACTGGATGAAATACAATTTTCTCCAGCTAAATGCGGACAAAACCGAAATGATTGTCTTTGGTCCCGAGAAACAAAGAGAGACCGTCATTTGTCACCTTCAGTCTCTCTCCCTAAGGCCTTTAAATAAGGTCAGAAATCTGGGAGTAATAATGGACTCTGACTTAAACTTCAATAGCCACATTGGATCGGTAACATCAGCAGCTTTTTATCATCTGAAAAATATTGCCAAAATTAAAAATATTGTGTCCAGGGCAGACTTGGAGATTCTTATCCATTCTTTTGTTTCCAGTAGGCTGGATTACTGCAATGGCCTGCTCACAGGTATCTCCAAACATGCAGTAAAACAGCTGCAGTATATTCAAAATGTTGCAGCCCGAGTCCTGACTAGAACCAGGAAGTACGACCACATTAGTCCGGTCCTCAGGTCTCTGCACTGGCTTCCCGTGGCCCAGAGGATAGACTTTAAAGCAGCTCTCTCTGGTGTACAAGTCTCTCCATGGCCTTGCACCAAAGTACATCCATGATATGCTAGTCCCATATGAACCAGC